CTGCGTGCGTGCTGCGTGCGTGCTGCGTGCGTGCTGCGTGCGTGCTGCGTGCGTGCTGCGTGCGTGCTGCGTGCGTGCTGCGTGCGTGCAGGAGTAGGTGGGACTCAGCAAAGGAAAAGTTGGCATCAGAGCAAAGATTGGAGAAGGAGAAGGAATGGACGGTGATGGCACTTGAGGACAGGTGGCCCTAAGCAGAGGAAAGAGCAAGTGCCAGGCTCCAAGGAGGGACCTGCCTCACAGGTTTGTGGAATGCACAGAGGGCAGTGTGGCTGCAGCCAGTTGAGCCCGGGGGCATTGAGCAGGGCGAGAGGGGACAGCGGCAAGGAGGGGCTCCATCATGGAGCCCTCGGCTACCTTAAGAACTAGATTTTTACTCTGAACAAGACAGTGCCACGTGCAGGCTTTGAGCCGAGTGTCAGAATCACAGGTACATAGTGAGGCCTCAGGTTCAGACATACAGAGGGTTTTAATTGAACCACATCAATCTTCCAGCTGCTTCTCCTTTCTCACGCCGGAATTGTCAGGGTCCAGAACACCTAGATAATTACTGACGGGCACCCCCTGACAGGTGGAGAGCATCTCAGTCACAGAAAACGCAGTGTCTGATTTCCTCTGAAAGGTCAGGTTGCAAAGCACATTTGTCGACAAGATGAGGACACGTATTGTGATTAGAGCAAACAGCATATACAGACATCCAGAGGCTGGAGAGAGTGCCGTGCATCCAGGAAAGAGCCGGTACTGCTCTCGCGGAGGAGTGATGGGTCCCAGTCAGGGGGACTCGGAACATCCTGGGCCTCACCTTCAATGATGGCGACGTTAGAGCCTCATCCAGGGACTCAGGCTATCGGTTTCCGTTTTCAGGAGCTAGCTTGCAGTTGCTTCTAATTAATATATATATATAATTACTTTTCTACTGTGTCTGTGTAAGCAGAAAACTCAGGTGTGAGAAAAGGGCAGTGGTTGCTTGAAGAATTACTGTCCTTCCCTCTGTTCTACATCAGCTGGTGGGGAGTGGGGGTGGGGAACACCAGGGAAAGTGTAGCTCAATTATCTGTGTGACATTTGCAGAAGCATTTGCATGCTAATGACCCATTGCTGTGGCATTTGGCTCCCCACAGAAGACAAAGTGTGGACCATCGTGTCGCACGACCTGCAGCTGCAGACGACCGTGGTGGGCTACAGCCCGGAGAAGTACTCGGTGACACAGCTCATGTACAGCGCCTCCATGGAGCAGATCAGCGCCATCACCAGCAGCGCCGAGTACTGCGAGCAGTATGTGTCCTACTTCTGCAAGATGTCCAGGCTGCTGAACACCCCAGGTAGGCCGAGCCCGGAATGTCACTGCTAATTACTGTCTCAGCTGGAATTACCTCAGCGATCCAGGAGGTGTGGTGTATGATCTCAGAGTCCAGTCTGCAAAGAGCAGGCAGCCGTGAAAAAGTAAAATTGGTTTGTTTCTAGGGAATGATGCGAAGAAAGTATGATTTTTCTTTTTAGACAAAAATTCCATTGTTTTAAATTGATAGATTTTACATTTATGTGCCTGTGTGTGTGTTTGTGTGTGTGTGTGTGTGTCTCTGGTGCTTAATTATCAGTGGTTGCTTTGGGCAAAAGTTGATGAGAGCGCGCCGTGAACTTTCGAGTCATTCCCTTTGAGTGCTTCAGTTGTCTTGAATGTAAAGATAAAACCCTTCCAAGCAGGTAAGTGGCATACAGAATAACGGTAGAATTTAGAGCTTTTTGTTGTTTGTAGTCATTGAACAGTATCGGTTTGTGTCAAGAAGTCAGACCTAATTGATTTTTACAATGGTTTGCTTTTAGCAGTACTTGGGGGGAACAGGTCGTGGCGGCGGCAGCGGTGGTGGTGGTGGTGGTGGTGGTGGTGTGTGTGTGTGTGTTAGGACCGTAGAAAATAGTTCCGAAGATACTGGAAATAACTTTACCTTAAAAGCCATCCACTCTGGGGCTCTTGGCAGAAATTCAACATGTCCACGGAAAACTCAGTGTCCCAGTCCCTTGTATAACAGTGGGAATAAAGGATGTGCTTTGCGTCAGGAAAACCCAGCGTCAGTCTTTTCAGCCACAGGTGTGTGACTTTGGGGAAGGTCGCTGAGCTCACGCCTCAGTGTCCTGTGTCTTTTTCAGTCTGATAGGAATCGTAATGCCTCTTTCAGGGTGGTTGAGAGAATTGAATGAGGTAATACACTGCGTGCTGATTATAGGGTTTGATACACTTGAGGACTTGATAAATAACAAGTGGTATATTGATTACTTTTTAATATTAAGCGCCTTCGGAAGAGGCATTGTGATGGCAGGGCCAGTTTGGGTCTGTTCAGTGCCCCAGATCAGCGTGGCGTTGGAGCCGGTGTCGTCGGGAGCAGCGTACAGAGAAGTTACAAGCACAACAGTACAACAATATGACAGAGACTGCGTGTCTTTCACATGCAAAGCCTTTGATAACATTACAGACAAGTGTGGCCTATGGACTCTGAGAGAGTAAAATCTATAAAACATGAAAGTGGTTGCTTCAGGCAGTTAGTGTTTCTGCCATTTGGGGAAGGAGATGTTGGTGGCTGGGACGTTGAGTGATGCTTCACTGGAGAGGCAGAGGGACCCGGGCTTGGTGACAGGGGAAGCAGAGCCGAGGGGACAGAGCATGAGGGACCCTTCCGGCCACGGTAAACAGCAGTTCGGCGGGGTTCATGCTGATGAGCAGCAGGAAATCAGGGTGCAAAGCAGAACTGGGGGAACCTGTGGCGGAGACTAAGGGCCATGCTGCAGAGCCGGGACTTCCTGCTGCAGGCCAGTGCTTCTCGGGCGTGCGCGTTGCGGTAGAATAACCTGGAGAGACTAATAAAACACTGGCTGCTGGGCCCGAGATTCCGATTCAGTAAGTCTGAGGTGGGGCTTGCGAATTTGCATTTGTACTGAGTGCTATGGACTGAGTTGCGCCCCTCCAAAGTTCATAGATGGAAGCCCTAACCCCAATGTGACTGTATTTGAGCTAGAGCTTTTAGGAGATAATCAAACAAGGGGTCACAAGTGTGGGTTCCTCATCTGACCGGATTGGCAGCCTTATAAAAAGAGGAAAGCGAGCTCTTTCTCTCCCCACCGTGTGGGGACACAGCGAGGAGGCCAGCAAGAGAGCTCTCCCCAGAAACCAAACTGGCCGGCACCTCGATTTTGGAATCCCAGGCTCCAGAACTGTAAGAAAAGAAATGTGTGTTGTTGAGACCGCACAGCCCATGGTGGTGCTGTGGCGTGGCAGCCTGAGCTGGCAAATACAGTGAGTGCCCATGTGGCGCTGGTATTGCTGGACCAGGGGCCACTTTGAGAACCTCTGCTGTGGGCAGAGGCAAATCTGGAGGTCCCTACAGGGGACTGTTTCTTCCGTTCACCTTGAAAACCCGGGGCATTCGGCACAAGGAATGATTCGCATGGCTTGTCTGCACCCAGTTTCATGAGTGGGAGCCCCTTACTGAAGTCCAGTCCAAGTTTCCATCAGTTCGTCTCCAGTCCTGGGGTGGGGCAGGGTGGGGGCACATTGCTGACCAGAAATGGGACGTGGTGCCATCCGTTCTATTTTCTTTATTCCCTTCCATGCGTCGCCTAAACTCCAAAGTCAACTTCCACTGTTTGAATTTTGCTCTGGCGGTTAAAAGGCACAGTGTGACTTTCCAGTGAGTGTACCTCACAGTTTGGACACCAGGAAATAAGCAGTTTGCCTTTGGTGCTTCCGTCTGTCTGGTTCATTCCTCTTCCCTCATCGAGACCCTCTGTCCTTCCCCTGGTCCCTGTCACCTCCTTCTCAAAACAGGATGTCCAGAAGGTCAGGAGAAACAGGATAAGTTTGTTTTTAGACAGTACTTCAGCTACATTTTCTAATAATAAGCTAAGCACACTTCAACCTCCAGGCACCTTTTCGGGAGAAGAGCTACTGATCTGAGATTAAGAGTGAGTCGCCCATCTGGATAATAAGCCCAGCATCTTGTGTTTCCAAACACTCAGACAGTGTGGCGGCAGACATTTTTTAGGTTATTAGTCTGCTTAATAAATATACTGTGACACTCAGTGTATCACACGCTTCTCGCCTTCTCGGACACCCTGTATGGATCAGACGTCCTCTCATATAGCATCAGTACCTCATGAATGTTTGCCAATTGGAATGCAATGAAAAATACACAGTTTTAAACGTTACCTCATCCAGCGCCATGCAGTGGTTTTGAATCCAGTGCACACATCCAGATTTGCAGGTTGCTTGTCCAAGTGCCCTTTTTCCCAGAACTCGGATTTGCTAGAACTTGCTTGGGACCCATGGATGTTTGCTTTTAGCAGACATCCCTAGGTGATTCGGTGGCCCACACATCGGGAACCACCACCTGTAACTTGTGGCGTGAAGGTTTCTCATGTCAGAGTTGAAGGTGTCAGTCCTCTGTGTGGGGAAAGATTAAAGGGAACATCAGAACTTGTCTGAGCAGCTGAAACAACATGGCAGACATCATTACCTGCTCCTTCGGCTGAAATAAATTGGCATAGAAGTGTTTTTAAAATCTTTTTCATAGACCAGTCTCTAAATATTGTAAAGTGAATTTCAGCCTACCCTTCTGAGTCATTTTAACACCCTCCCAATTTCAATTGTCCAGGCTAACTAAGCTGTAGAATAGCTAAGGCAAGGAGTGGTTGATACGGCAAGGGCTACTGCATGATTGTGTTCGGTATATGTCCAAATAAGAAAGAATACAATTTAATAAAAATCCTTAATTTGCTGTTTTAAGGAGCTAATGCTGCTATAATTGTGTTTTCTCTTCGCCTTCCTGGTAACATTCAATTTTAAATATCCATTTACTCATTCTTAACTAAGACTGAATTATCTTGGAACTTCTGCAGTCGTAATTGTGACATCTGTTTGAATACAAAGTATATTCGTTATAGTCAAGGCAATTAAAATGAATATCAAATGAGTTTGTAATAGCTATGCACTTAAAATGTTATTCTTTATTTTAAGAGCCTTACCCCAAACAGTTCATGTGGGGTGCTGTGGTTTCTAAGGATAGCTGTTATAAAGAGTTGATTTTGTGCACATATAGACCTCATTTTTATTTTGATAAATGTTTGCTTGTACCACACCATTAGCCAACAAATATAGACTTACTCATTATTGGTTTCTCACAACTTTTACAAGGATGGTAATACATGACTCACAATGTTACCTGTTTGGTTTTTTTATTACACAAAATTTTTAAATGGAATCAATTTTAAAGCAATGATTTTGCCATTCTTTGCAGTCATATCTGTTCTTACACTGTAACTATTAACTCAGGTTGTCCTTAGTCAACTTTAAAAAAAGACCTAGGAACAAAACAAAGTCATTTTATGCCATAGGAGAGACTGTTCAGAGTGAGGCATACCATTTTGGGAAGGAACAAATTAATTCTACCCAAACAGAGGAAACCATTAAGGGCTATTCAAAACTAAATAAAAATATATTCGTATTTTGTATTTATACCCCCAGAACTGCAAATGTAGTAATACCTGAACTGGTGAAAGGCAAAAATCATTAAGCAATGAAATCTACTTCTGAAATAAAGACCTAAGAATTTGAACTTGATAAATTAGACGCCAAAAGAAAGTTTCATTAGATCCCATATGAGTAAAGCTTTAGTGACCAATCCTAAGACTGGTAGATGGACACAGTGTGCCTCTATGTGGACTAGATCTATAGCCTGCTTTGAAAACGCTTATTTGTATATCTTAGATGCACTGTAGTCAGGTATTTATTTTATAGATCATTATACTTTCTATTTAAGATTATTCTGAAGTATTTGTTCCCTACATAAAGATTTGTTTACCTGTAGGGGTATAAAGTTGATATTTCATATTTTCTGACTGTATTTAGTGTTGTTTTCATTGTTTTCCAGAGTTTTGCTTCTTTTAATTCTTCAACATAGTCTAGTTCTCATAAGTCATAGTTTTATTGCTTCTTTTGTTGAAAGACGCAATATAAATTATCCATCCATTGGGTAGTTTACTATTAGATTTTGTATCTATTGAAAAGAGTTATGCTCACAATTTTTGCCTGTAAAGTAAGCTGTGTACAATTCAATATACTTTCATGATACTGCACTATGATTTAGTAGCATCCAAAAGACCAGAAAACATGACTCTGGCATTGTAACTTATAACCTGTTTTTAGAGAAAAAATTTCTAAACTTTGGTGAAGTAAATTTTCCAAGTTTGTGCCATGCATTGCAAGAAGCCATGATGTTTAACTTTTGAAACAACATAGATAAAAACATGCCCCAACTGTAACTACAGATTA